CTTGCTACTACTGATAATGAGACATTAGAAAAGAGTTTTGACCCCGAGGACCTGCAATGCATTAACATCACATTGTCTTCTCTTTAATATTAATCAGAGTACTGTTTTACTGTTTATTATTGTTTTTATATGTTAGTGTTGAGTAAGTTGAAAGGGTAAGCCACAGCCCAAATCTTGTGTGCAGACCGTATCAATAGGGATCCAAAAAAGGACCCCATGATTTGGTCTGGTGGGGGTGTGTGTGTGTCATGATCTAGGCTGTGCTACCAGAGGCCTACTAGGCCCAAGGAGCCTGGCTAGCAGTAGGTGAGGCTGGGCCTACAACTCCCAGAAGCCCCTGGGAGGTTTTGGAGCCAAAATGGACCAATAGGAAAAGAGGAGGGCTTAGAATAAAAGTTCTGAAGCAGCAAAAAGAGTTGTTCTTTCTTCCAGAGGGCAGAGCCAAGAGAAAAGCTGCTGCAGGGGGAAAACCCTCATCCTGGAGGAAGGGTGAGTAGTGTAAGGCCACTTAAGATAGTAAGCTAAAGAAAGTAAATTTAGACATGTTAAGGCATTTAATTTATTTTATTTTCACCCACTTACTGTGTTTATTCTGAACCTTGTTGTTTAACCTCCTATAAAATAAACCTTTTCCTTGTTTTACTCTGCCTGATCCTCACACCCGTTATTCGGCCTAAAGGGAGGTCAGAAGGTCTTAGAAGGGTACTCTGGACCTTCTCAAGGGAACCTAAATCCAGAGTCACCTGAGTCGTGACACCACCGCAAATCAACCGCTATAAAAAAATGTAGAAGCTGACAGCACCGGGGAAGGAGGGCGGGTGGTGTGAATGCACAGATGACCACTCGAAGATCACCAGTTACAAAGCAGTTTAGCACCCGTAGATCTAAGATTGGTCGAACACCTCCATCCCGCTTTGGAACGGTGAAATAATGGGAATAGAATCCCCTGCCCTGTAGATGAAGTGGCATCAGCTCGATGGCTCCCTTGTGCAGAAGGACGGACACTTCTTCTAGAAGGGCTGGAGAAGGGGGTGTGGAGACGAAGACTGGAATAGTAGGATTCTGGATAAAATCTATGCTGTAACCCTGGGTCAAGATGGACAGCACCCATTCGTCTGTGGTGATGAGGCACCAAGTTTGGAGGAAGGGGGCTAGACGGGTGAGATGTGACTGGAAAACATGGAAGTCAAAAACCCTGTTTAGTGGACTTTGCCTGCTTATGGTGGGAGAGTTGTTGTCCTGATCAAAATCTAGGCTTCTGAAATGCAGCCTTCTGGCCTCCAGAGGATGTACATGGCCTCCACTGCCAGGGCCTAGACCAAGGACGAGGCCGGTGTTGTTGTCTCGTGGAGGAAGAAACACCCAGAGCACGAGAGGCTTTTATGCTTTTGTCCATATCCTGTAATATGGTGTCTGTGGTACTATTAAAAAGACCAAGGCCATTGAAGGCGAGGGCCTCTACGTATGTCCTGGTAACCGGATGCAAATTGGTGTTGTGTAGCCAGGAATGTCTTTAGAGAGTGATGGCTGAAGCCATTGTCCTCGAGCAGGTGTCTAGGGCATGTTTAGAGGTATTAATTTGTTGTTTTGCCAGCACCATGCCCTCCTTTTGGATGATGCGGGCTGACTGACGCTTATCTTCTGGAAGGGTTACCAAGAGCTCAGAGAGCCTTTCCCATAAAGTTTATTGATATCTACTCATACATCTGATGGCTGATCAGGAGGACGGGAAAGAGATGCTGAGGGTGTTGGCCTTGATCTGCGGGGTGACCATGATCTATGAACAGAGTAATGATCCCAATCCGAGTAACCTGCTGGAGTCAGCCACGGCATGGACGCGGGTGGGTAAGCTCCATAGAGATAATGTAGTTGGCGATGATCCCAGGGGAGAGCAGGAGGTGGCAGGGGCAGGAAGACTCATGGGGATCTATTCCTAGAGCGGGAAGATCTGGGAGACAGTGTAGCATCTCATCTCTGTGAGTGGCCCCTATCAGCCTGATCATCGATATCGAAAGGCCGATCTTCAGCAAACAGATGGGGATGATGACATTGAGTGTTGGAAGGGATCTGTCGATGCCGACCTGCATCAACATCGGTGCGGAATTCCGAGAGTGGTAATGCCGATGACTGAGCAGAGGGAGAATGATCCATGCCCAAGGGATGGCTGAGGATTTCCACATTATCGATGTCGGAGAAAGGATGCATGTCTGCCAGCATGTCATGGTCTAGCTGGTGTATTGAAGTGTCCATCAGCTGGATGGTCGGTATTGGTGGAGCGACTGGAGCCTCCGATGCTGATAATGTCATCAGAGCGGGGAGCACCTTAGGGGCATTACCCAGTGCAGAACCCGTGACATTTCCAGACTTCGCCGCCTTTAAGGGCTTAGAGGAACCCTTCTTGGCGGACTTGTGATTTTTACCCGAATTTTCCTCCTTTTTAATGGGAGTGGATGCCGAAGACTGCGCCATCGGTGCCGGACGCTTCGAAGTCAAGTGGATGATGTTGGACGAGAACTTTAACGCCGAAGCCGTCAATGTCGATGGTCTCACTGGTACTTCTGGATCCACGACGGAAGTGGGATTTAGTGCCGATTCTAGTAAAGCCACCTGGAGACGCGTCGCTCGATTCTTCCTAGTTTGATTGGAAAACATGGCACAGTGCTGGCAGGACTCTGGTCAGTGCGTCTCACCAAGACAAAAAATATAAAGGGTGTGGCCGTCAGGTGGAACGAGCTTACTGCCACACCCAGTACAACGCTTGAAAAAGTCCCACCTTTTCTCCATAAAATAAACAAGATGGAGAAAAAAAGAGGTGGGGGGGGGGAGGCCGAAGGCCAGACTGAGGTAAGACAAAACTTCCCCCGCAAACTTAAATAATGTGTTTTGGTTTTTTTAGGGAAAAAACGAAGAAGCAAAGGAAAAAGATGAAAAACAAAGAAAAATCTGAAGAGAAATCCAAAGAACCTCTGAGGGAAAATAGCTACCAATCTCACCGACCAAGGAAAGGTGCTTCCAGTACAGCGGAAAGAAAAGAACTGGTGGGATGTCCGCACCCACCCCTCTGGGCATGCGTGCTGGAGGTTCCTGCGCATGCCTGAGGTCTGGGCATGAAAATCCATTAGAGCTTGCTACAATACCGATCGATCCAGCTCAGGCGCACTGAATCCCATGGGTGTGAAGCACAGAGACCACGTCAAAGATCTTAATATTATAATGAATTGTATTAATCCAGGAAAAAATGCTTTCATTTTATCACCATTTGCAAAAGCAATAAAAATGTCATCAATATGTTAGTAAAACAATATTTCTTTAAAGAAATGATTTCTCCCTGATGTCAAATTGCTGTATCTTCCAAAGAGGTCACGAACAAATTAGCCACATTAGGGGGAAAAGGACTACTCATTGCTACCCCTTTAACTTGATAATAAAATGGCAAGTAATTTTTCTCAAGGATAATAAGGTCTAAAACTGTTTCTAATATAGTCCTTGCTTCCTCGTTAAGAATACTGGTATATAGTGAAGTCACATCCATAGATACTAAAACTGAGCTTTCAGGGACACTCATCTTCTCTAAAGAGAGATTAAGGAGCAATTAATAATAAACCTGGAAGAAATATGTAACATAGCGAGAAAAGAAGGGAAGATTCCGGATACCTGGAAAGAAGCAATTATTCCGCTGATACTTAAACAAAATTAGGATGAAAAAGAGATTAAAAATTATAGGCCAATATCTTTGTTGAATGTAGATTATAAAATATATGCATCAATATTAGCTCAAAGACTTAAAAATGTTATGAAATCCTTGATACCTTTGATATAGGAGAGAGTTTTCCTTCAAAAGACTTTTTAAAAACCCTACATATTGTGATAATGGTTCCAAAACAGAATTTGAACCTGAGACACTAGGTCTACCTGGTGGTGGGAAACCTAAAAAACAGGAATCAAAATCTTAGAGGTAGGCTCATCAATGTAATCCAAAATGGAAGCTTCATCAAGTGCTATTCATATTAGGTGTAGTGTAGAATATGATCCATAGGACCCTTTGTGATGACAATATAACAAGTATGATCTTTTAACTGATGCTGAACCTCACTGTAATAGTCCTCTGTATCTATTAAGACTACAGCCCCACCCTTATCTTCCTCTTTAATTACAATAGATTCATCCCCAAATTCTCCATAATTTTATGTTCTTGTATTTAGAAATTATTCCATCCATGTTTAAAAGAATGCTCTAGTTTAGTTAAATCCCTTGCAACTAATTGCTCAGATATTTGTATGGAAAGTTAATTGAAAACAGGTGAAAATATTGATTTTCGATGAAATTTATTACTAATTTGGGTTTTAGTATTACCAAAATAGGTTTGTAATTTCAGTTGTCTAATCAAACAAAATAAATCAATGCAAGTTTGGAAAGAATCATATTTTAGGGTGGGTATAAAGCCCAAACCCAAATTCAAAAGTCAGTGTTCTTCATATGAGAAATTTCTGGATGATAAATTCCCTACTAAATCCTCCTCTTGCCTCCGCGTGAAGGATAAGTGAAAAAACATTCCTTGGCTCTCCTTTTTGTACCCCTATTTAAATAAGAGCTATTGGAATTGTTCACTTCTCCAGAAGTAGTTGCAGAATCTTCACCTTCAGTAGTATCTAATTCTGAAACATTTTATAAAGAACTGGGCCATAAAACTTTATTTTTCCCTAGGGATCCTATGAAGCACCATTTATAAACTTTGGTCATTTTTTTTAGCTGGAATAAAATATTCCGTGGCTAGACTGCAGAAGCACAGTCCCAATGTGGGGCTGCACTGAAGACAGAAGATTAAAGTGTATGTTCTCCTTTGTTCCATTTTATCCTTACAAGGTATAAGTTACAGGACATAGTAGCCAAGCGTCCATCTGAATCCAACACAAAAGCAGGAGTTAAAAAGTGAAAAAACATTCCTTGGCTCTCCTTTTTGTACCCCTATTTAAATAAGAGCTATTGGAATTGTTCACTTCTCCAGAAGTAGTTGCAGAATCTTCACCTTCAGTAGTATCTAATTCTGAAACATTTTATAAAGAAATGGGCCATAAAACTTTATTTTTCCCTAGGGATCCTATGAAACACCATTTATAAACTTTGGTAGTTTTTTTAGCTGGAATAAAATATTCCATGGCTAGACTACAGAAGCACAGTCCCAATGTGGGGCTGCACTGAAGACAGAAGATTAAAGTGTATGTCCTCCTTTGTTCCATTTTATCCTTACAAGAACCCCTATGCCATAGGTTAGGCTAAGAGAGAGAGAGAGACTGACCCAGGGCCATCCAGTGGGCTTTGTGTAGGAATGACTATGAAAGCTAATTAGATCTGATTTCACAATCAAAACAGCATCTTCTTTCCCTCAGTCTAGGAGTGCCAACCTCTAGGTGGGGGCTTGAGACCTACTGGAATACAATTAATCTCTAGACTATAGTGATCAGTTCCCCTGAAGAAAATCGCTGCTTTGAAGAGCAGATTCTATGGTATTATATCTTGTTGAGGTCCCATCCCTCCCCAAACCCCTTTCTTCCAAGTCTCCACCCCCAAATCTCCAAGAATTTCTCAACCCAGAGTTGACAACCCTACCTTAGACTGATTTTCAAATTAAATCCCAGCTTCTAAATACTTGGATTAGGTTCCACCCCTGTTTGTAATGGACAATAATGAACAATAATACTGTTTAAAAAGTAAAAGGAGGACAATGGGAGACAGATAAGTATCACAGGTAACTTGAGGTGAAAAAAATACATAGGCTATCTTACAGTGTTAAAATCCTTTATTTCAATGTCACACAGATTGCAGAGGCAAATGGTCTTGTGGCAAAAACACACACATCTTAGACAAGCTTCCATCTCGCAGCATAAGTCCATCTTTCCCATGAGTCACCCACGCATAACGTCTTCACATATCTTTTAACTGAAAAGCAAAATACACTGAATGTGACTGTAACACAAACAGCCATAGCTCATACTTCCAAAATCTAAGTTGATGTGCAGTTCAAACACTGAATCATCTGGTCCAATATCACTTAATACAGTCTTGGATTGGGGGGGGGGGGAGTTGTAGCTGAAAGTAAAAGGTCCCTGAGAATGCTGGCACTTCAAGGAGGTTTGTATCCCAGCCTTCCCCAACATAATAATGTTGAAAGTGTCCCCACATCAAAATCTCTCTTTGCCTGCCAACATGTTAAACTCCTCCCTGCCCATGTGCATCTGTGATGGGCCACATCCTGCCCAATGCCTGCATCACCTCATTATCCCCACAGTACCTATGGGAAGGGAGGAGTAGCAAGTAATTGTTGCAGAATTAGGGCTGGATTGAGTCTCAGTCCTCTGTTATAACTCTGAAAAACCTCTGATAACACCAATAACACTTTAATATCTATAGTAATAAGCATATATAGTTGAAGTTTTGGCTCTGTTCTGCTCCCAGGAAGCTTCAGGCCGCTGCTATGTGCTGTACATGGCCATCACTGGACATGACTTTGACTCACGTGACTTGCACCTCCTAGAAATGTTTATACTTTACAGCAGTCAGAAGCCACTATCCAATACTAAATAGACAAAAGTATCAGAAACTAGCTTCCTTGATTCTGTGAGTCACCCTGGCTTAACCCAGCTTTCTTTGATTTTCCTGACCCGAGATAGAAAGGACTGACTTTGTTGTATGCATCAGATGTATGTCAAATGCTCGTCACAGACTTGACCGACAGTTATAGTAGCTTCCATGGGCGAAAAAGAGTACTTAATGTCTGATTTTAGTCTTGTTCCTGGTTGTTCTGATCAACCAACCAGCAGTTATGGGTCTTGGCAGAATAACCAAGGATATCCTTTATAGAATTAAAAGTGCACTATTTATGTATTGGAATTGTGTTGCAATATTCTATGTTGAATACTGAAATGTTACAAAATTGTTTTCTGACTTAAAAGTGTGTAATAAAATTAGTTTTGGTTAAGAACTCTCTCTCTCTCTCTCTCTCAATGCAATTGGGAAATCAGCTTCTCTCCCTCCCAAAATTGAACACAGTGGGAATGAGGGTACATGAAAAGGTTCCTGCACCCTTCATTTCCCTATCAGTAATGCACTCTCAGTGCATGCTAGAATGCCCTAGCATACAGGAATGATGCATTTATAAAGTATACAGAGTACTTGTCATTACTTAACAGGTGACTTCATAGTTTACCTGCTCCTCACAATGCATACTGGATACGACAGCTGTCCGTTCCAACACTTTACTCTGAAATCGGATGGTAAATTTGATGGACTAAAATAGCCAGGTTTGCAGATAAACTGAATGAATTCTCCATGGAGAATTGGTCGAAAGTCATAACTCCATACCAGACCCAAATTCTTTTCTTCCATCTCATTCTTTGATAAGATACATGGCTCTTTAGAAAAATCAAATGAAATATTAAGCTGTTTTAGTAGGATATTAACATGAGTATGAGACTTTTGCTGACACGATATGCTTGTAGTATTTTCTACAACAAAGTACACTAGAGCTTGCCAACCCTGGCCCTTTCTGCACTGACAGCTTGCTCTGGAGAATCCGAGGAGTCAAGCCTTAAGGGTTGACTTCACAGTTGCACGCGTTCCCTCTGCACCGGTTCCCCCCCTCCCCCCCCCTTTATTTTTGTATTATGGATACATTCTGCATCTACAAGCAAAACCCACATTTTTTTTTAGCTAACTGGCTGCCAACCCCTCCCTCCTTCCGTGTTTTCTGCAAAAAGAAAGGGAAGGGAGGGGGGAAATCTAGGCCCACACATGCAAGACTGACACATTTGGGAGCAGGGAATCCCCAAGTCCTTTATATCTACTTCCTTCTTATGCTCTCTTTGGCTTTTTTAAAGTTTGCCTGAGTGGAAGGATACATCCTCTTTTGTCTTTGGAGAAGGAGGGAAAAGAAAAGAAAACAGAACAGGGAGAGAGAGAGAGAGAGAGAGAGAGAGAGAGAGAGGCATAAATGGGGGAGGGCAGTGGGCAACACTTAAATACCCACAGAAACAATTCTACTCTAGAAAGGATTAGCGATTTGAAAGTGGATGAAAACAAAGAATCACAGCAAAAGGAGTTTTGGTAGCTGTGAGGCAACACTGTGCTGGAAGCGATCTGAATACAGATTCCTGTAAAACAAATGCAGAAATAAGAGAAAGCCCCAACACAAAGTGGAAGTGAAAGCAGGAAGGAATGCAGAACGGAAGAATAGGATGTGCTCAGAAACCGAGGCAAAATATGAGTGCAGAAAGGGCCCCTGTAAATGTTTTTACTGAAGGCATCTGTACATTCATCAGATAAACACAAAAACTGGAATTAAAGTACATCGTATGATAAGAATCTTTTGTTATTTGTAAAAGATTCAATTGAAGTAATACTTTATCAACAAACAAAGCATTTATTCTCTGGCAGGCTATCCAAGTCAATCATGTCCTCTACATTAAAAGGCAATAATAATGGTAACCACATACTATTTTCATCTGTACATAGCCCAGCTTCTAGGTTTTTATTACAAACAAACTGAACCCAGAGCAAAGTCATGCAAGTGAAGGGTGGAGTTATCTAGATAAGAGATAAGTAAGCTCTCAGAGGTTCTTGTTAAGTTCTCCAGGATAGAGTAAAGAAGTTGTCACTTGGAACACTGTTACAGGAGACTGTCCAAGACACAAAAGTCATTGGAGCAGGGTGCTGCTTTAGCCACCTACTCAATGATGTAGCAGAGTGCACTAATTTATTCTCTGTCCCAATTAATTCTCTGTTCTTGTTTACTAGCCTTTAAGAGAAAATCATCTGAGAGAAAAGCCTTCCATCTCCTCATGCAGGATACGCATCCTATCCTATTATATAAAAGGGTAGTGGTCTGGCAACGTTCTATGCTTGGCAAAATCAGTTCGCTGCCTGATCTGTCACTCAGAGTGACTACCTAGGCACTGGCTGCATTGCCTGAGTCCTGCCCACAGAAACAGCAGGTGCAAAAACTCACCTCAGAAGACAATTTCATCTCAGGAGAGAGGACGGAGACTTTGGCCCTCTCGCTTCCCAGTGACTCTGGCCCTGCTACTTTGCACTGCCGCTGCTCCTGGCCCGGCCTGCACTGAGGCCGCTGCCTACTGCCACTCCACGCTGCTGCCTGTCCCGTCACCCCCCGAGCCCTGAAGACTCCCCAAGGTAAGTAGGCAGCCGAGCTGTGAGCAGTCTGGCTGGGCCGCAGGGGCCTTGAACGGGGGGTGGGGGAGCCAAGGCTGGCCTGGCTACACTGCAGAGGGCTTGAATGGGGTAGTGGTCGCAGGGGCTGGGCCACAGGGGGCTTGAACGGTTGGGGTGGAAGAGCCAAGGCTGGCCTGGTTGAGCCACAGGGGGCTTGAACGGGTGGGGTGGAAGAGCCAAGGCTGGCCTGGTTGAGCCACAGGGGGCTTGAACGGGTGGGGTGGAAGAGCCAAGGCTGGCCTGGTTGAGCCACAGGGGGCTTGAACGGGTGGGGTGGAAGAGCCAAGGCTGGCCTGGTTGAGCCACAGGGGGCTTGAACGGGTGGGGTGGAAGAGCCAAGGCTGGCCTGGTTGAGCCACAGGGGGCTTGAACGGGTGGGGTGGAAGAGCCAAGGCTGGCCTGGTTGAGCCACAGGGGGCTTGAACGGGTGGGGTGGAAGAGCCAAGGCTGGCCTGGCTGCACCGCAGAGGGCTTGAATGGGGTAGTGGTCGCAGGGGCTGGGCCACAGGGGGCTTAAACAAGGGGGGGAGCCCCGGGCGACCTGGCTGGGCCGCAGGGGCCTTGAACGGGGGGGAGCCCCAGGGGGCCTGGCTGTGTGTGTGAGACTTTACTTCCACTTCTGTACCTTTCTATGCATTCATTACACATCACATCTTTCTATAGACTGCTTCTACAACGAGCTTTACTGCTAGTGAACACATATAGCTGTCTTATACTGAATCAGACCATGTCTACTTAGGCTGGCAGCAGCTCTCCAGGAACTCAGCTAGAGGTCTTCCTGATCACCTATGACCTGGTCCTTTTAACTTGAGAAGCCACAGATTGAACTTAGAACCTTCTACATGCCAGGAAGACGCTCTACCACTGAATCATAGTCACATCCATGGTAGTCCTACACATACACACAGATGGACATTTTTTGTGCATGTGTGTAAAGTGCCATAAAGTTACAGCTGACATGACAATCCCATGGGGTTTTCAAGGCAAAAGACAAAGAGAAGTGGCTTGCCTGCTTCTTCATAGCAACCCTTAACTTCCTTTGTGGCCTCACATCCAAGTACCAATAAGAACCAATCCCATGTAGCCTTTGAGATCTGATGAGATCTGGCCAGCCATGGACATTCAGGTCAAGGTTATGGAGATTTTACAATACTTTTATTGTAAACACCTATTCATGTTTCATTTATTTGTACCTATGCAAACTGGTGGGGTAGTCCACTGGCCATTTAAACAGGACACTGTCATAAAGCCTTGCAAAACATGGTATTCATGGCAACTGTATGTTATTGTTAAGTGATAAGCAGAGTCCGTTGTCAATGATTCCACAGCAACTCCATTCTCTACAACTGGCGGGGACCCACAGTTTTCATTAGGGTCTGTAAAAGAAGAAAAGTGAATAAAAATTAAGACATTGGAGAAATTAATCTGATTCATAGACTACACAGGAGGCTGGTAGCACCTTAAAAAGTAACAATGTTTATTTCAGCATGAACTTTTGCGAGTCAGAGTGCCCTGTCTCCGATGCATAGAAATGTCCATTCATAAGGCTGAGCTGAATACTCAGAAGAAGGGGTAGGGGAGAGATTAAAAAGGGAGAAATTAGCTCACACAGAATAGGCGTCAGCCACTTTCAGCCATCAACCGCATAATCAAATGAGCATCAAATCTAATGGAGAAACACCAAAGAAGAAGATGACAGCAAACTTAGTGACGGACTCTGTGTCTTCCGACAAGGACTCTGCTTCAGTAAAGGGGGCAGCTGCCCCTAAACAAGAATACCAATTGAGGATTAGAAAAGATAAAGCAAAGTGAAGGCTGAAGAACTCTGAATGGTGCCTTAAAGCATTTGTTATACATGATGCTCTTGGGGTTGTTTTTAAACAGTTAAAAAAATGGTTAAAAAGATAAACAATTTAGCTTAATCGACTATGTTCAAGGTAATATTAGCATTCTAGACTAACACTTATATAAGCTGATGTAATGATCTGCGGTGGCTCAAGTGGTTAAGACACTGAACTGCAGGCTGTGGAAGGTCAGTAGTTCAGCAGTTCAAGACCCGAGTGTGCCACATGACGGAGTGAGCTCCCGTCTCTAGTTCCAGCTCCTGCCAACCTAGCAGTTTGAAAGCAAGAAAATGCAAGTAGATAAATAGGTACCACTTCAGTGGGAAGGTAACAGCGTTCCGTGCGCCTTGGTGTTTAGTCATGCCGGCCACATGACCACGGAAACATCTTCAGACAGTGCTGGCTCTTCGGCTTTGAAACGGAGATGAGCACCGCAACCCTAGAGTTGGATTTGACTGGCTTTCGAGCAAGGGAACCTTTACCTTTACCTTTTTAATGATCTCCTATTCTTGAGGTTTTAGTTATTAGTGGTTTTCTCTACTTTCTCCCTAGATGTAGATGTCCCCTCCCTATTTTTTCGTTGTAGTTTGTCGTCTATAGAAAATGCAATAAAAAATCCCCTCTGGGGGGCCTAAAAAAAGAGAATATTAATGTGCAGATTTCTATTGGGCTCCGACCACTTGCCCTCAACTGAAAACCCTTCACAATGTGCGCCCCAACCTACCAAGGAAGCATCAGTAGTATGGGTGATTTGGGAAACCGAAACCTCAAATGGGACCACAACGAAAAGATTGGTATCCACTGTCCACCAAGTAAGTGACTTCACAATGGCTCTCGGGATGGAGAAGCATTGCCCAGGTGGATGCCAGCAAGGGTCAGAGTTTCTAAGAAACCACAATTGGATACTCCTCACGTGTAATCTGGCAAAAAAAAAAGACTGTTGTGGTAGAATCCATAAGGCCCAGTAATGACATCACCCAGTAAGCGCCGTATAGCCCTGATTGCCACCTCTTCTGTATGAAGGCATGTGCCATAGCCTTCATAGACTTACCCCTATCCAAGGGTAAAAAGGCTCTCTCTTGAAAGTAATCTAAGGACACGCCAGTGAAGGGAACGTGGCTGGAAGGTTCTAGCTGGAACTTGTCCAAATTGATCACTAGGCCCAAACTGGCACAGGTGGCGAGAATTATACCCAAATGTGCCTTAAGGCATTCCCGTGAATGGGCTACAACTAGGCAATCATCTAAAAAGTGAAGATGGTGCAACCCCTAGTCCTCAAATGAGATACAACCACCACCAAGTATTTGGTGAAGACCCTAGGGGCAGTGGTGAGGCCAAAAAGGTAGAGCTGCATACTGGAAAAATCTCTGAACCTTGCCTAAAGCAAATTTCCTGTGTGAGGGGTGAATGGAAATATAAAAGTAAGCATTCTTAAGTCCCAAAACAGCAAACCAGGAGTTGGGGGTGAGGAGCTCTATTATAGATGAAAGAGAAACCATTCTAAATTTTGAAACTTTCAAAAACTTATTTTGTTTTCTTAAATCCAGGATCAGCCACCAGCCACCAGGGAACCCTCTCAACTGCCCCCTTCTGCAGGAGCACATTGAGCTGAACTCTGAGCTCTGGGTATGGGTTATCTAATGCCACTACTGCAGGGAGATATGGGGGAAGATATAAAAACTCCAGGAATCACAAACTATTGAAAGAACCCAGCACCGGAACAAATATAACACCATGCCTCATAAAAATGGGCCGAACTATCCCCAAACATGGGAACCGAACAGCTAGTCAGAACTTTTGTGCTTGCTGACTCTGCTCTCTAGGAGGAAGCTGCAGACCTGCAGATCTGGGCCTCAGGGTATTCTTCCTCCTTTGGAAGAAGGGTAGCTGGTACTGAAGCTGAGTGTACTGGTATGGCAGTTGCTGTTGCTGATGCCTCTGGCTTTTATAGAAAGGCATCACAAAACTGTGCTATCTTGGGGTGAAGTGTTGCCTCTAGCTAGAAGGTGCTGAAAAGACACTAAGTGACTTTGCGGTTTGCCGATTTGTCTTGATAGCAGGGAGGAATTTGTCCATCACCTGGGAAAACAGGCTAGATCCCTCAAAAAGGAGGTCCTCAACTCTACAGTGTATCTTTAAAGGAAGAGTGGTTATGCATAACAAGAAGTGTCTTCTCAGGACAATAGCCGAAGCCATGGCTTTTGCAGCCATACCTGCTGCATGCCCTCCTGCATTTGTCTCCTGTTTGGAAAGTCTAATGGCCTCAAATTGGATCCATTTAGCTGAGGACTTTGGCTTTTTGGGGAGAGTTTCCAAGTGCTGCAACAAAATTCTCCCACAGGAAGAGTTGGTAGCCACCCATAATGGTATGCGATAGTCCCTACTTCCTCCAGATCTACATTGGGTGGAGCGAATGGAGAGCATGCTTCCAAATACGCAGGATCCCCTGAGTCATGATCGAACCCCGGTGGTGGTGGAGGTGCAAACTGGGCGGTGCTGCAGGTGGTCCTCAGGCCATTGTTGCAGATATATCAGAGATATATCATATGAAGGTCATTGGGTCCGATTGTTGCCATGACAGAGGCATGGGCAGTTCAGCTCTAGCCTGATGCCTTGCAAGGTATGTTACGGCATTCCTCCTCAGATCCAGACAAGGAACCAGATGGGGAACCGAAGTGAGGCAATAGAGTACAGAGAGGCACCAAAATCACATCCTGCTCCTCTGGGGGCCATCTTGATGGTGGGTGCCTATACTGTTTGGCTGAACCGTCCTTCTCGTTATGTCTCATTTTCTTTTGTTTTTTAATAGGTGGTTCCAATGGAGATAGGGACCAATGATGCCTTGACTCCAATGCAGGGGTGACTGATGAGGCTTTGTCAACCAGGCATGGAGTTTGTTTAGGTATCAGTACTATTTTAACCAAGTGAATGGAGGGTGGTCTGGATTGAGACTCTGAGCCAGAACTGAAGAGGTAGCCTGGATCAAAGGAGGTGGCTTTGAAGGTTCTGGTACTAGAACCAACTTAGACTCGAGGACC